AAGAAGACAGTGCTGTGAGAAGGGCAAGTAAAGCAACATCCAGAAACACAAATTGTACTAGAGAGATGTTGTGTAGGGTCCAGTTCAAGTCCAAGAAAGACTAAATAAATCTGAGAGAGGAGGAGAGGACAACTAAAACACCCACAGGTAATAAGGAAAACTACAGGGGCCTGGCATGTTTAGCCTCACAAAATGAAAGCCAAGGAGAGTACAATTACTGTACACAAATACTGTAGGAATCCTGAATGGCCATGCTGGCCCAAGACCAATTAGGTTTAAACTTACCACAAATACATTTATGCATGAGAAAGACCTTCCGTTTCAGAAGACAGGGTATCCGAATCATCATACCTGATTGGTAAGAGTCAGAAGGACCAAAAGCTCTGAACCAAACACAACAACAAAAAAAAACCCCACAATGTAAATTTTGTTTGAGATGTTTCTAGGAAATAAGGAGCCCTATTGGATCTTCTGGCCCTCTCTCATATTCCTATTTTCTACGTTTGAGCCAGAGCACCCTGTGTGTACAGTGTTCCTGGTACAGCTGAGTTTCTGGGCACTAGCCATGGTTATCCTTGGGACTTTTAAACTCCCTGGCAATCGCTGCAAGGAAAAGGCCATCATGAGATTTCTGAAGGTTTTCAGGGATAACACAGATGCTGGATGAACCAACATGGCATGATGCTGTCCTGGATGTGCTACTTAACAAGAAAGAACTGGCCAAGGCTACAGCAGTGAATAGGAGCCATGACTGTAATGATCCTGACACAGAGGAGTTCAATATCCTGGGGAGGGGTGGGAGGAGAGTAACATTGTCACTACATTGTCTATGAACTACATGTCACTACATGAACTAAACTGTTAGAAATACCAAGATGGTTTCTGTAGTTTTCACACATTTATCGTATTATTTGATCCTTAGGGCTAGAGTAATAATGACAGCATTCCGGTGCTCCTGAGGGCTGGAGGATACCCAGCTGCTGGCCCAAGCCCTGGCTGGGTGAGACACAGCACGTGGGTATAAGCAGCAAGGGACGCATGGTCCCAAACCCTTGCTCAGGGACATCACCATGGGCCATACTCACGCACATGGGTCTGTGTTTACCACAGTGCCACTGTATTGTCTAGTGCTCCAAAGAAGCCAGCTATTAAATAATGAAACTTTTCACAGCTAAAAAGTTTTGTACATTTCCAAATAAGCTCTTTTGAAGCAGTGCCACTGCCCAGTCCATCTCTTCTCTTGTGCTCTGTGTCATTGTTTTGTGCCAGCCATCGAGGCCTCAGCTGCATCTTCCCAGGGCCCAGTCAGGTTACTCTGGCCATGGCAGACATCCCCAGGCACATTTGGCAAGAGGGTTCATGCAATAACACCTCCTGCTTCCCTGGGTGGCTGCAGGACAAAACCCCACAGGCTTTTCTGACACCCCAGCACTGTTCGCCATCTCTCTGGCCTCCCCTGCTTCCTCCCATAGGAGTTCCTCCCAAGTGCTGCATTATAGACAGCACTCAGCTCACTCTGAGGGATTGTCACCCCTATCCAGAGAGGGTAGAAGCAGGCAAGTGTGATCCTCTCTGCTTAGCACCCATCAGCCTTCATCCGGGTACTATGTCCTCTTTGGGTTCACACACAGGAGACACACTGACAAACCAGAGGAGCTCAGGGCAGGTCGCTGCAACCTTGAGGGTGAAGTACATGACCTGAGAGGATGGTCGGGGGGCTGGAACTGGTTCAGCATGCAGGAGAGCGGGGCTTTGGGCACCTCACAGTACACCCTGGTGCCTATAGGGATGCAATTAAAGAGGATCAAGACAGGCTTTTCCCAGTGGTGCGTGGCAAGAGGGTAAGTGACAGTGACATCAGCTGAAACAAGAGAGGTTCAGCATCAAGTTAGTAGAGGAAAAAAATGAGAATAATTCAGCTCTGTAGCAAGAGCCAGAGAGCCTGTGGATTTGTGCACTCACTGAGTCAGCATACGAACTGTCGTAAATGAAGCCAGTGTGATACTCCAGGCTGAACACAGGGCAACTATCCAAAATACTTCAGATACAAAATGTAAAAGATCCCAAGCACTGGCTGTCAAGGAAAACCACTATGAAAACTACAAGACAAGAGTACTCTGTGAAAAAGAAAGAAAAACAATCCCCAGTTCTGCAACAGGTGGGAAGCAGCCTGAAGAAAACCTGGAGAGTCAAGCTCTGCTGTAACCTATTTTATGAAGCTGAAAGGGCTGAGCTAGAGGAAACACCAAGAACTTGTTCATTTAATTTAGTAGGACAAGGCCCTATACAGTGAGTCGTTGTAAGGTTCCCCATACCACTCAGCAGGAAAAAAAAAAATTCTTACATTTCTGTTATCCTCATTCTGTTTTCTCAATATTCAAATAAATGGTCAGGAAAAACTTCAACCTTCTCAGTTCACAGCCTTTGGGGTTGATTCTCAGTTATGCTGAGGCTTCCACACGCCCTCACATCAGAGCTGAAGATCTACCATGTAAATGAACCCTCCCCCCACCACAAACTGGGCAGAACTAATTCAGAGCAACCACAAAAATCAGAACGAGTAGTTTACATTTAACAACTTCAGAGCAGAAATGAGTAGTGAAACTCACACAACCTCTCAGCACAAGGTACTTTCAGTTGCATGTGAAGCTCAGCATTTACACATGCTTGACTGCTGAATGAAAAGTTTAAGAAAAATCTCTTTTCTTTTATATCCAAAGTACAGAATTAGATCCAATATCAGGCAATAGTGAAAGTGAACTAGCAGCACACTGTAAGTTGCAGTCACCCATGTAAAAAAATAGCAAGAAGTATTTTATCGCTTTTATTCTTTTTAAAATAAGTCTTCATGCATTACAAGCAAGTTATTCTGTGCTCCTAAGAATCTGGCTTCCTACTAGCAAGTCAGCAGTTGGTTTTGGGTCACAAAAACCCAAGAGGCTGTGGCTGTCCAGCAGCTGTGTATCAGTCCTTGAGGTGGATGATGACAGAAGCAACATCAGCTGTGTGTGGAATACATGCACAGGTTCAAACACCAGCTGTGTGTGCAATATACACATAGGTTCATGCACACCCATTGGGAGAGGTGTCTCCCACTTTCCTTTTGTATTTCAATGCAGCCTTCTGGCTCCTTCCCCACTATGCTGATGGCAAGAGCTGTCATGAAGCCAATCTTACCTAATAATGAGTTAAAGATGGGTTTTATTACATTGACGAAGTGGCAGAGTAGAACTTGTCAAGCTATTTGTCATGGTTCAAACCCAGCCAAACAGCTTGTTTACTCACTCCCCTCCCTTCTTGCCCTCCCCCTACTCCTGGAGGGATGGAGAGGAGAATCAAAAAGAATGCAACTCCCCCGGGTTAAGAACAGTTTAGTAACTAAGGTATAACACAAATCACTGCTACCACCAATAATAATAATGATAAAAGAAATAACAAGGGAAGAGAATACAACACCTCACCACCTGCCAATGATAACTCGCCCTCCCCAGCCTGTCCAAGCACCAACCGATACCTCCTCCAACCCCGCAGTCTACCAGCCCTTCCAGGTAACTCTCAGTTACATCCTAGGCATGATGTGCTGTGGTATGGAATACCTCTTTGGTCAGTTTGGGTCAGGTGTCCTGTCTCTGCTTCCTCCCGGCTTCCCCCCACCCCCGGCAGAGCATGAGGCTCACAAAGTCCTTGGCCAAACCAAAACATCGTTTTCAGCTCTGTTCCCAGCATGAAAGTCAAAACACAGCACTGCACCAGCTACCAAGAAGGAGAAAAATGACTGCTACTGCCGAACCCAGGACACTATTGCAAAATACAAAGAAACCTGGGGTTTAAGTCTATTACAGTATTGAGTTAGCCAAAGATTAGTGTCCTCTTTTGCAAAAAGACAGCCTTGGTTACGAAGAAAAGGCACTGGGAGATTCCACATCTACTGATATAAGAGGTTGCAAAGAGCTGAGCAGGGATCATTATAGCCGGCTCAGCTTTAAGGGTTATTTGTAGTACGGCTCTCTTCATTGCCTAAGGAGTACTAAGGGAAGCAGAGGTTAGTAACTCATTAAAGGTAAGGACTAACTATTGAAACCAGCACTGGCAGAACTGAAATGCTACATTGCCCCATCCCCTGCATCAGTTTCTGTGACAAGCAAATGACATCCTGGGCTGTTTGTATCCATGGGATCAAGGTAGAAAATATAATTCAGAAAAGATGACACAGACTTTAGGAAAAGCAAACAGCTTATAAACACTAGTTAGAAAGTTTGGGATTACTATGGTAGAAAACTGGTCTCAACTGTTGCAGTATGTGCACAATGCTGCTCGTCATGACTTTGAAAAGCCATTTTGCCTTCAACATGTTTTAGGTGTAACAGCATGCCGTTATCCCCACCTTGGAGGAATGCTAACCTGGAGGGTTGCTTTGGTGACAGGTAGTCTTCCTTCTGTTGAGGCAGTTGAGGTCTCTGCGCATCAGTCAATGCTTCCCACAAAGGGCACCCCTGCTGCACTGGCACAGTCATGCAGCATCACCGTGGGGAGTGACTGAGAAGGAAATGTCCTGCCCACTGCACACCCACGGGCTGACTGAGCTCACACAAACTCCTATGCGTGTGCCTATACCAAGAGATTCACGACGATAACCTACAGCAGCGGCACCCACTCGTACCCCCATTCCCGCCACCCCTCCCTCACACCTCTCTGCTCGCACCGCCTGCGCGTGCGCAATAGCCCGACCCGGCCCGAGGGCTCCCCGCGCCTGCGCATAACGAGTGCGCCGGGTGTCGGACAGGGAAGTGGGCGCCTGGCAGGCTGCGGTCAGGAGGAGTGGTGGCTCCGCGCAGGCGTACGCCATTGCCTCGTAGAGTGAGGGTGGGCATCCGCCACTCCCGACTCCGAGCCAGGGTAGCGAGGCCGAGCGTCCCGTCAGTCCCGCCTGCCACTGCGCGGGAGCGTGACTGGCACCCGGCGCCGCGCAGCACAGGGCGAGCCGTTGCTCCGCCTCCTCCTTCACTTTCTCCTCCTCTTCCTCCTCCTCGCCTTCCTCCCTCTTTCTCTTCGCTTCCTATATTAGCTTCTCATTTCCTCTGCCTCTTTGCTCCTGTCCGGTTTACTCTTGCGTGCTTGGCCCCGCTGCGCTGTGGGGGACACGGGGGCAGGAACGTGGCCTGCCGCCGCCATGCAGATCACACTGAAAACGCTGCAGCAGCAGACCTTCCGCATCGACATCGACCCCGAGCAGACGGTGCGGGGCCGCGCAGGAGCGGGAAGCGGGAGTGGGGTGTTTGTGTTCCGTGCTCCCTCCCTTCCTGGCCTCCGGCCTCGCTGCCTGCTCGTACGGGAGAGCGCCGCGGCTGAGGGCTGAGGGGGCTCTGGCCCTGGGCCGGGGAGGACGGGCCCTCCTCTGGGGGAGGGGCGGGCAGCGAGTGCGGGGGAAGGGTGGCCGGAGCCTCTGTGAGTGCCTGAGGCCGGGGTTGCGTGTTTGGGGATGTGGTGGATGCCTGGAAGGAGCTTGGGGGTGTGGGTTGTGAGCTGCTCCGTGGGGACGGGGAGCGGGGCGCCTTACCGGAGGGATGTGGAGCGGGCCCGTTTCCGCGGGTCGCAGGCCGTCGTGGGGGCCTGTTTTCCTTGGGGTGCAGAGGGGGTCTCCGGGGGGGAGGGCGGCTCCTCCTAGCTGGAGGAAAGAGGCTGTTGTGGCCGTACACCCCGCGGGTGGACTGACTGTCCTCGCTGGTTTCTAAAAGAACGCCTAGAAGGTGGAAAGGAGAGCAGCTGACGCTGTGCTGTGGAGGAGAGGAGCGAGAAGGCTATAGGAAGCTGAAATTTTTCCTTTTGGGAATATACATGCCAACACCCATGGGTTAGTGGGCAATGGGGGAAAGTAATAATCTGATACTTTGTATTCGGAGTAGGTCATGACCTCTTGGGTGAAGGGGGGGTAGTGCAGCAGAAGGGAAACTTGGTGGTAGCTCTCTGCTGATTCCCGCCTGGGCAGGAAACGTGGGAGAGTTGTAGGGTGCTTCCCCACGGGAGTGTGTACCGGAGAGAAGATCCTGAGCATCCAGAATGCATCCCTGTATGCTTAGATGAGTGTACACTGTGTTTGATGGAGGTGGTTGATTGCAGGGAGGCTTTTTTGCTTTGCTTACAGTGTGAGCCATGGTGATTAATCTGCACCTCCGAGGTGAGGGAGTGTATGTGAGATTCCATGAACCGCTTAGCATGAACGCAGGTGTCTCCTGCAGAGCAGGCATTTGGGTGAGTGGTGAGGTTTGTAATAGTCTTACTCTCCCTTATTGACAGGTTGCAGAAACTGTGTATCTGTTCTTACAAGACTGCGAGTGGGGAAAGGGCAGGTTTTGATTGCAGGTAAATGTTTTCTGTCGGCCCATAGGAGTCTGCTGGAAAATCCGGAGGGGGAAGTACAGGGTTGTGAGACAAGAAGGGCTTTAAGTGAGTTTGCAGGGCTAGAAGTTGCCTTGTCACTTGCCTGAGCACAGATGGTTGCCTTTGATAGCGAAGCCCAGGCATCCCTGTGGCTGCCTTCTGGAAGATTTGGGGACTTTGGCGTCTGAAGGTGTGTCTGCAGCAGCCCTTCAGATGACATCTGGGCAATGAAGCTCTGGAAACCATGGAACACTGCATCTGCTTTTATGAAGTCTGTTAGTTTACTTTCTTTCATCTTTAGAAAAATAAAGGGTGGCAGTTAAATTTGGACTAAGAGTTGGCTTGGTTGACTGGTATGGAAGAGAGAGGTGGCATATGTCTACTTTAAGCAGATGTTGGAAACCTTCAAGGATTTAAGGTATTAGCCTACTTGTTCATGAGGGTTAGGTCTCTTGCCCTCTTTTTTTCCTATTCTCTGTATTCAGTAAGGTCCTGAGAAATAAAGAAGAGGACTTAAGCCATGTTGCCAGTCAAAACCCCCACCAGCTTATGAGACAGCAAAATGCACTAGCTAGGAGTTGGATTGTGGGAAATTAGACTGCACTCTGTAAGTGTAGCTTCTACAGTAGCTCAGTAACTAAAATGAATTATTTTCATGAGCATAAGACTTCATGTTTTGGCTAGGGATGGGTGGTGAAACAGAGGAAAGAGAAGGGGTAGGATTTGAGGAGATCTTTTTTTTAAAGTGAGAGGGGTGAATCCTTCATCTTGTTAGCTGCAAAGGTGTGGAGTGAGAAATGTGTTCAACATTACCTACTTTTTAGAGACTCACAAAGGAGTTCTTATTGAAAGTGTTGAAAATCATGGAACTTAATAACAAAGTTTTGAGCCTTCAGTTAGAAACCAAGTCTGTTAAAATGGGAAAAAGCTTCAAAATGTAATTGGTTAATGAAGTGTTTTGGAAGTGTGTATTTGAAAGTTCTCCATCTGATTTTGAAAAATACTAATTGTACTACGTGCACTGGTTTCTTAGATTAATTTTCCAACACCTTGAAACAAATGTGTGAGTGCTGTGGAGGTAAGGAGAATTACTTCTGCTCTTTGAAGTCTGTGTGTTTCTCTGCTAGAGGTAGGCTTGTTTACTCAGAGTTGTGCCCTATACTGTGACAAGGCCAAAAATCATCCAGTTGTGATAGGCCCAGGAAGCGATAGGCCCAGGAAGCTTGTTGCTCAGAAACTGGATTCTCGTTCTCTAAAATTGATTTCTGGTTCTAGCAATATCTCTCCGTAGTCTCACTAAAAAAAAAAAAAAAAAAAAAATATCCAAAGAGACTTGATATTACGTTGCAAGGTAGTATTCTGACAAGTGTTCATGCTTGTCACCAAAGGCTGTCATTAATAGTAAGGGGTATTTAAACAAACCTTCCAGTGAGAATTTGAAGCAGCACACTATGTAGTAGCTAGGCTTGCTAAAGCTTTTGCGTAGTTGGCTGATATCCTTTTTTTTTTTTTTTTTCCTTCTTAATCGGACAGTTGAATTTTTAAGTTCAAATAGCTTTTTGTAATGTGACTTTAGTTGTAGTTTAGTTGTGTTTTAAAGCATTGGCCAACAGTATTTTAACTGAATAAAAATTAGACTTGAAGAATGGAGTATTCTTGTTTATGAAAGTGCTAGGTGAAGACTACCAAATATTTTGCCTAAAAAAGTTGGATTCTGCCTCAGTCCCTATTATTTGAGAAGGCTTATTAAATGCAGGAGTTTTTGCAGGCATGGCTGTGGTGTGGTGTTTTTTTTTTTTTTTCTGTTGCTGTTTGTGGTGGTGTTTTTTTTTGTGGTGGTTTTTTGCTTTTTTTTTAACTTTTGGGGTAAATTTGTGGAGTGCATGGGAATTAATGTACTGATTGTGTTCCTCAAAGAGGTGGATTTATCCATTGTAATCATTCTCATGTTCTGAGCGAGGCAGTTAAGTACTTGAAAATTCAGATCTAACCAGGGTAAATTAAAGCATGTGTTTATCTACACAAGGTACTTTTTATGTGGTTTTGACTGTGAGAGAGTAAATACACCAGGTGTTGTGTTAGGAGCAAGAAGTAAGCTCAGCCTGAAACTGATTCAGACCTGTGTAGGTACGTCTGTTGTCTGAGATGACAGTGATGACACTGTAGCCTTCAAAATCTAGTGCTGCCATTGTAGTTATCACTGTGTAGACATGAAATAGGCTTTTAAAAAAATCTTAACAGTCTTAACTTTCTTTAAAAAAGAAATGCTGATTGAAAATCTATTCTATTTTATTTTCAGCTTCCCTGTGCTGTTAACCTAAAACCCTGATGTCAAAATGCAGAGCATTGCAAGGAATATTCAGGATGCCTTTTGGCACAGTCTCTATGGTGCATAATATGGGCTTTCATGTTTCACTGGTCTGCCACAATGTTTCAACACCCAGAAAGTTCTGGCTTGTTTAACACCAAGTCAACCGGACTATTAGTTGTGGAAGTTTATTCCACAGAACTTCTGTATGTTCTGGTGCCTCTTTAACAAGTTTATGCTTTATTGCTAAATGTGTTTGGGGATTTTTGGATGCTAATGTTATGGCCCTTTGTTGGATTTTAGGTTTAGAAATTTAAGCTAGATACTAACAAAAGCTGTATTAAATGTGTGAGAAGTGTGATCCAGCAAAAATGAAGCAGGATCCAAAGGGTATGTAATAAGGAGAAAAGTGAGCTTTGGCATATATTTAATTTTTCAAGGTAAAACAAGTATACTTCAGGGGAAAAGGATACTACTTTAATTTTAAAAAGACAATGTCATAGCCAAGAATTTGTATTTTCTGATTTGTAGGGGGTATTTTGGCTTTTTAACAAGAATGAGGTGGTGCGTAGTGGAAGTACTTTTTGATATGTCCATGGGGGGTGCCTGATAAAATGACAAGCTGCTTCAGTTCTTTTCAGAGAGTGCAGTTCTAAATTTCTGAATTACTTTAGACTATTGTCTGAATGCACAGACTATGATTTGCGAGTCCATATGAAAGCTAATGCTGTATGTGAGCACATAGAATCCTGGTAGTTACCTCTGTGTCCTCAGTATATCGAGTGCTATACTAAAGCATCTTACAAAAAAAAAAAAAAAAAGGAAATGCGTATTGAAAGCCTATGTAATCTTAAAGCATACTTTGCACCAATGCTTGTTCTATCTTGGGCTAGGAAGGATTCATGGAAACAAATAATGGGGTGTTGTAAAAGATATTTAGCATACTTAGAGCCCTCCTGGTAAACCGTGGGCTTCTGTTGGAAAACCATCTCCTGGTATAGTAGCATTAGTAAAGAATAAGTTAACAATTCAGTATAAAATTGAAAGAATTTTAAATAATAGTACATTTATCTCATAAGAAATTGATTTTTGTTTTTTCCTTGTGATATAAGAAGATATAAAAGCAGTAGATTTAGTTTTGGTCATTTTAGTTCTGCTGAATATATTATATTCAGTATATAGTATATATAGTATAGTGTATGTAGTACATATATATGTATATATAGTATAGAGCATATAGTATATATATAGTATATTGTATTTTTCAGAAGAATTAACTTCAGAAACAGTTCTGCAAGAGCCAGAGAATATTGTTGGGTGAAATGGTAAAATCTGACTTGGAGGCTTGTAACCTCTGAGAAAATACGAATTTATGCTTACAATCTCCTTTCTACATGTGTTTCAGTGTAGGTTAATTCTGCAGCAGTTGCTAATTAGAGGATTGTTTTTGTAATTCTGAGAGTTTGTAATCTTAATGGTTAGAGGCAAAGTGCTCCTATGATCCTGTTCAAGAATCCAGAGATACTCTTCTAGGTTAAAGATGTTCTACT